AAAACCACAATTAGGCCATTTGAATCAAGACATGTTAAGTTTTAAAACTAGCTTATTTTAAATGTATTTTCTTAACAGGAGCCTGTCTACCAATATGCAATTTCTGATTATATATACATAAATATATATCCCTGAGTGAAATGACTGCAAAGGAATACTTTCCTTTGAACAGAACGTTCTTTTTTGGACTACTGTACACTCTGTAACTCTGCAGAGGAGCAGAAACAGAGCAGCTTTGTAAAGAAACCTCTGACTCGGTACGATGTTCAGCTTTTGGATACAAGCTGGAGTCATTAACGGATTCGTGGGAAGTCCTTTTCCACGCAGGTCCAGTAAAAGCAGCTGTCTGTTTTCTGAGGGGGTGGGTTCTGTTCATTTCCCGGCAAAATTGACTCCAGAAATTCCCTGCACGTGGGGGAAGTGCGACCACCTCTCTCCTAATATGGTCAAAGCTTCCGCTTGGAAGAGCGTGGAGCCCTTCACGGGCTGTGGGAAACGGCGGTTACAGATTTCTGGTTGCCGCAAATGTTTACACCTAGAAACAGATTTCTCTCAGGAAATGTGTAACTGTCCGGTAATCATCACGAATCTTAGTCTGTTTGGCGCCATCTTTGCGGAACACTGAAGCGTCTTTTGTTTACATGCCGGCTAAGTGAAACTAACAAACAGCAAGTGAAGGTAGCCTACGACAGCTTTAGCATTAACGGGGCCGTTTAAAATAAAGAGAAACCGAAAGAAGCTGCTGCATCATGTTGCATCATCATCATCATCATCTGCCGGGAGTCAAACCGCCTGCACTCAAAACTGCTCGGAGCAGCTGACTGAGCGGCGCAGTCCTCACACAGCATCAGCAGCTCACCGAGCTACCTGCAGCCCAGGTGGGTCGGCCTGACTCACCCTGCTAGGCTGGATGTGTGCTGATCCGGACCGGGTGAAAGTCGGTCCTGTTGGAGGAGAAACATGCCCCTGCTGTTCATGGATACTGGGTGTGAGCTTAGCAGCCCCTGCGGCTCCCTGTCAGCGGAGGAGTATAGCAGCAGCACCTCTGCTTTGGTAAGCCCCCATCACCTTTATATATATATAATATATATATATATATATATATATATATATATATATATATATATATATATATATATATATATATATATATATATATTTCACCTAATTAAATTTAACATTTCATTATTATCTAAGCTCGTGTCATATTTGAACTGTATAACAATTACTGTGCAGTATTTGTTCCACAAATAATTATTGTTTGTAGTAATGGTTAGCAGAAATAGTCATATCCCATATGGGGCCCATATTTTAACCAATTTTATATATTTTTAATTGATGTAGTAGATACCCAATCTATAAGTCTATTTAGGCCCCATATGGTCAGATTGAATGGGTACTAAGAGACAACTAATTGGTCACCCTACGCTTTAAGTGGATATTAATATATTATCTGCTTTAATTGTATAACATAGAAAAAAATCCATATGGGCTCCACATTTGGACATGCATCCATTATGTGAAATTAGGATTGCTACCCGTCCCATAAAATACGGAATCGTCCCGTATTTGGCTGTCAAATGTTGCGTCCCGTATTGAACCGATACGGGACGCGATTTGTTCCGTATTTCTATGAATGTCCGATAGACACGCCTATCACACACATATCAACACTAAGTGTAACAATAATGACCAAAACAAAACACAGGAAATATTAAGGTCAACTAAATTCTCGTGAAGCGAAAGGACCCCAGAACGCTACGGACCGACGCTGTTGTCACGGTTGCCTAGAGACGGACACTACGCAGCCGTCCCTTATTTTTATATCTGAAATCCCATTTTTATTTCTTTTTCTGTTAGAGTCTGTTCGGTTCGGTACGCAATTTCTTTTGCTTCCGTTATAAAATCTGCCCATATAACCGACACCTACTTCTTTCTTTCTTGCTTTCTTGCTTTTAATTTTTTGGCGTCACACAACACAGTCCATCGATTGGCGGACTGGACATAAAAACGTTATTGCTTGCAACAAGAAAGCGTGTCGCGTACTACTAGCACGTCGTCGCGCTAGCAGTAGGACGCCATGTTTAGGCGTTTGGGTTTAGCCCCGCTTGTTCAGTCAGAGTCCAACTGGCGGTTGAAACGTCTCATAAATACACAAAATAGCGAACTGAACCATACCGCTCAATGGAGACAAGACATTTGTCAGCGTGTTTATTTTCCTACACTTGTAAATGTTAGCTAGATTATGATATATTTTGCTCAGGTTGAATTGTTATAAAGGGGGCCCATAATGGGAGTATTTCTTCCTTTTTTCTTTTTTTTTTTTTAGATTTTTTGTAGTTATAAACTAAAATGGCTCTGTTAGTTCAAATAAGCCATTTCTTGGAAGTGAATCGCATAAGGGATTACGTTCTGTGTACTTCCACCTTCGCTTTGAAATGGGAATATTTACTGTCATTTATAATCCTTATCTTCACTCTGAATCCACAAGACAGCAGCCATGCAGTCGTTTGCAGGGACGCCTGCAGGAAGTTTTCAAACTCATGAAACTTAAGAGTAAATTACTAATTAATGTACCATAAAATATGCTCATTTCCCTCTTGCCATTTCAAGAAAAAAGAAAATCAATGTGACATGTCATGCTGTCTCATGAAGGCCTTACCTAATGCTTCTTTCTGCTCTCTGGACTTCAAGAAAAACTAAAGTTTAACTTGGAAACAGAATCAAAACACTAAATGTTTCCAAACATACATAATCAAGTGAATGGGAATAGGAAGAAACCGGGGAATTTGGTGAATTTATTCCAGTATGTGGATAAAAACTGAACCTGAGAATGAAGCATGATCTTCAGTAACTTTTGGACAAAATCAATGGATTGGTAATACAGTATCAGAAAGCACATTTTATTTCTAAAATGATCCCTGGTTTCATCATTAATATGGGTTTCTGGAAATTAAACCCTGATATTTTTATTTTATAAAAAAATCTATCTGAAATTTGCTCTACTTTCTTTCTATCTCAATATTATCAGTTTTAACTTCACATGTCCACGGTTGCTTATAGTTTTATAGATTTTCTGCTTCAGTTTTAGGGATCAGATGCTGCCTCAGTATAGATTAGCTTTTAAATCTTTATATCTTATCCTTTTATAGCTGCAATTCCAAAACCAGGAGGCACGTGAAGTCAGAGTGAACATAGAGTCAACCTGATCTTTTGAAGTGTGTCATTAACTCTGCAGGGTGGCAATTAAACATTTTGCTTTTGGTTTTGCAGGAGAGAGATGGAGAGGGGAACCAGCCTCGGCCCAGAGTGACAAAAAGGCGAGAAAAGAACCGAGACGCGGCGAGGAAAAGCCGGCGCAAACAAACGGAGAGAGCTGATGAGCTGCACGAGGTGCGAAACAATCCCTCCCTGAAAACTGGAGGAAACTTCTGTCTGTTTCTCTTAATGCTTCCTGCATTATTCAACCTCCGACAGTCAGCCGCCTTCCTAGTCACACTGACCCACACACCCTCAGACAGTGTGACAATCAGGGAGCGTGTGTGTGTGTATCTTGTGCAATCGGGCGGCAGGCTTGTAGCCGTTTCTTGTAAATGCTCGGCTTTAAGAGAAGGACTTTCCCTTTGGCCTCTCCTCCACGCTGGTCCGCCCCCTTCTCTCTACCCGCACCACCCATCCACACACAGACAATCCTTTCTCTTCTTCCTCCACTGACTCGTTTCCCCCTCAGAGCTAAATCTGAACTCCTCTCCAACAGTTTATTATGACTTTAAGCCAACCATTATGAAAAATACCTGGAGCTCAGACACATAAAGGACCAGCTCCTTTTTTTTAACGTCTAAGTTATTTCTTTCATTAAAAAAAGTATTAAGTAAATGGTACCTAATATATTTTACATATTTTATACAATTTAAATCAGTTCATTTCATAACATGTAATCTCAAAGCACTTAAAAACTATATGAAGTCTTTGTAGTTATGAATTTATTAAAAATCTGAATTTTCTGGCTTTTTCTCTTGTATTAGGTTTTAAATTGTTAACCTCACTTTATTTTTGATACAAGTATTTCTGTGGCCTGTACCCCTTTGTGTTAGTACTTTATAAATGATAAAACTCAGCTATTTCAAGTAATAGCTGAAATAGCTGGGGATGTGGGTATATTTTACACATCCCTCACAAAAATCAAAAGCTTAAAGTAAAAATAACCCTGATATCTGTCTAGAATAATCACGTGACCACAAAAGCCTAATGTGTCAGATATGATACAAAGAAACCAAAACATGCTTAAAAGAATGCAAATAATTCATTTCTTTACAAATCAGATTTTTTGGATTTTTGTATTATCAGGTTTTAATTGTTAATCTTATAAAACCAAACATAATTTTTTATTCAACTATTTCTGTAACCTTTAGATTAGATTGCTATTTCAAGTAAATATTTTTCCAGGTGTATTTCACCTTCTTAAAAAATGCAAAAACATACATAACCCCCCTCCCCAGATATATATGTTTAGAATAAATAAATGAGCACAAAAGCTGAGTACATCAGATATGATGCAAAATAATTGCAGAAAACCTTGTTGATGTAAAAATATATATATATATATATATATATATATATATATATATATATATATATGTGTGTGTGTGTTATTTTTTAATATATATATTTTTAAAAAGTAATGCTCAATACTCTTTTTTATTGAAAGAAAAAAAACTTTTATATTTTTAAAAATTAAAATTTTCTGCCAAACATTTATCATATCAGACTTTAAAGGTTGATTTAAAAAAAATATTAACAGGCTATCCAGCTTAGATCATTGATTAATGATTTCCCAAACACCCATTTGGACACAACCTGTTTATGGGCACAAACTCCTGGAAAGCAGAAAAAATAAACCAAAAAGTGACTTTTAACAATGGTTAACCATAAAATATTTGTTTATTCAGGGACATGGGCGGTCCTAGATGGGGGCCAGCAGGGGCTTGTGCACCTATAGAACTGGAATTAGAATTTGACTTATTGGTCCCTTGGATAAATTTTATGTGTTACCTTGATAGTTTTATGTCAATAATGAATTAAAAATAAAATTTTATCTTTAGCTGTATATAGGATCACAGTTTTCATCTCAGGGGTCTGAAACCTGCAGCTCCAGAGCCACAAGTGGCTCTTTGGCTCTAAGTATATTAAATTATGAAATACTGCCATTAATTTTTTTATTTCATTCTTTTGTTCTTTGTCCCTCTGACTGACAAAAATACAATAAATAGCATAAATATCTGCACGACCATACGCAACTGAACATTTTTTTTTTAAATTATCTGTCAAAGGATCTCTGAAAAAGATGTTAAATGAAGCTGAACTGATTTGAACTAAACTAAAATACATTAAATGAAATCACAATAAATTAAAATTAACTTAACATATTTCTGTTAAACTGACTATCTTTAAAATAAATTGCACTTAAACTGTTGTAAACTGCAAAGAAATCCACTCTAAAGACGGTGTGGAGGGGAATACTGTACTGTGTTTGTGTTTCACTTTGACCAAAATACGTCACAGAAATTCAGTAAGTGATGCGCCTGTTAAATGGCAGTTTGAAAGCTGTAATCTCAAAGACGAGGGGAAATCCCAGCAAATAGCTTAGAACAGGTGCTGCCACTCCCAGAAATGCAGCCGGTAAAAGGTAGAAAAAAAAAAAAAAAAAACTCCACTCATTATAATCATTACTATCCAGGGACAAGTCACTGAAAACAGAAAAGAATTTAATGTTAGATCTCAGAATTCTGACTGTAATTTTGTAATTCTGAGATTAAAGTCAGAATTCTAACTTTTTCCTCAGAATTCAATTTTTTCCTCAAATTCTGACTTTATTTTTGGAATTATTATTATTATTTTTTCCCCAAAGAAAGGGCCCACTTTAGAATTCTGGTTTTAATTTTGGAATTCTGACTCTTTTTTTTTTTTTTTTTAAATCTGAATTTTTAGAATTCTGATTTATTTTAGAATTCTGACTTTAATTTCAGAATTCTAAGGTTAAAGTCAGAATTCTGACTTTTTTGTCAGAATTCTGAGAAAGTCAGAATTCATTTTGGTTTTTGGTTTTTTTCATTGGCCACTAACGTTAAGCTAAGGAGTCTAATAAATGCAACAAAACAAACAAAAAACACTCCCTTAAAACTGGTAAAGTGCTGGACTGAACAGAAACGAAAAACGTTAAACAGATCATGACAAATGAGTCATGACTCAAGATTTTTGCACAGTAAAGGTCTTGTCAAGGTTCCAAGACAAGTAGCCAAAAGAATAAAATTTCTATGGTAAAGTCAATAATTTAATTTATTTAAAAGAGATAACATGGCCAAAGTTTAAATCCTCATGTTTATAAGCCTGTTGTGTATTTCAGACAAGCATCTGTCCATCAAAGAGAAAGTGAAACCTATAACACCTAAACAGTTTGTTGACCTGTGTGAATGCCCGGGGCGTTGCGTCTATTGGAGCCAGTCGGATGAGCTTTAATGTAATCGCTCGGGTTTTATGAATGGGTGTGTCTCTGTCATGTGTAGTAAGTCCTGACTTTTGTTTTTTGTCTTTCATCTCTTTCACTTCTGCTTTCAGTGTGTCGTTTAACCACATTTTGAAGAAGCATGGCGACCACAAGCTGCTTGATTTAAAAAAAAAAAATTAAAAGCACAGCGTTGTGTCAGCGATTCAGTGCCCAACTACACTATCTGGAGCGAGAGAAGATCCTCAGTGTGGCTTTATTTGAGGGATGCTTTGTTATTTTGAGCAATGTCCAAGTACAAAGTTTGAGGTTTAAGTTGCTTATAGAAATAGGAAGCTTAATAACATATTTTTTTTATAAGGGAGACTTTGCTAACGTTGTAGCAACACAGTTCAAACGCAACAATCAGTCTATCTCAGATTTGTTGCAAATCCTTTAGGGAGTTCCACAGGGTTTAATATGTGGCTCCCTGTAGAAACTGTGTTGAAGAAAAGTTTCCTTGTTTCCACATAAAAATAAGAAAGAAGGAAATGACTGCTTAGTACCTGAACACATGCTGAGAGGGTGAGTATGTAAGGATGACTCTACTCACACTTCCTTTACATACATACACGCTTCTGCTAATTTGCTAATGCGCTACTAGCAGAGCTAACTTTTTATTTTGCATTTTGCTAATTTTGTAAACAGCGCATTTAGCTTCCCGTAATAAAATTTTTCATGATAAATTCTAAGTATTAATTTACATGGCTCTGTGTAAAACTCCCAGTAGGTCAGGAGTTTCTTAAATACTCGGACCAGCCCGTCTGATACCAACAATCAAAGTCACTTATCGTATATTCACTTAAATCAACGTTTGTACCCCATTCTGATGCTTGGCTTAAACTGCAGGAATTCATCTTCAACATGTTAAGTGAAATCCTGTTTCTGTTAACAGCCCAGGGTTTCCCCCAGTGTATGATAAGCCTGGCGGGCCACCAGGCTTCACTTGTGCCCCCACCAGGCTAAGCATTGCTTATTTATTTAAGTCTTTTTAAAATGTTTGCATTTTTTAAGACTTTATAGTTGGTGTTCAGGTATTAATCTTTCAATAACACAAAATTATCAAGTGATATTTTCAAATTTCCTGTCAACTTTAAAAAGTTTTTAACTCAAAAACACGACGGGACGCTGGATGAATGGCTGCCCAACCACCAGACTTAGCAGGTTTTCTGGGGGAAACTGTGCACCAACCAGGGCTTTCTCTGTCATTGGCCCTAAGTTATGGAACGACTTACCTTTGCAGGTCAGAGAAGCCCCTTCACTGTCCACTTTTAAAGCTTGTCTTAAAACCCATCTATTTTATTTGGCTTTCAACTCCAGCGGGATCTAGTTTTAAATTGTATGATTTTGTTTTTAAACTGTAAGCTTTTTACAAGCATTGTGGAACCCCTTTTTGGACCTAATTACCTTAGATCTAGCTACAGGATGCAAATCATTCTGCTTATTTACTAAGCCCTTCACTTAAGACAGCATCAAAGGCTTTGTAAACACAGACAGGAAGAGCTGCTTCCTGTCTGTCAAACTTTATAGCTGCAGTTATGTCCTTTATAACAGCAACTTATTTTCTAATTAAACTCTTGAGTTCAGCACTGATCAACAGGGGATGGCCGTCCTTGTTTGATCATCCACTCACTTGTTTCATGCTGAGCTCGCTGAGCTGTCTATTAACAGCCATATTTCATTTCTCCTTGGGGACTGTGGTGTGAACCGGGCATCATCCTCTCGGTGACTTTCATGCTTTCTGCTGCAGCTCTCTCAAAGCCTCAGAGTCTTTGCTATCTAATTACAGCAGCCGTCAGGCCTGGCGTTATTGTATGTGGGATTTTTATGGCCGATGAGGGGATTGATAAAGGGGACCTTCACGTTCTGTGCGTTTTTATTTTTTAATTCGGGTCTCAACTGCTTCTAGAAACAGACCAAACACTTAAAAAAAGAAAACACCTAGTTAGTTTGTGGCAATAAGTTCATGTTTTATGGTTCTGTTTCCTCTGGAATGTAACGTCACAAATCAGCAACCTCAGTGAAGCAGGTTACCTAGCAACCAAAGCTGAGCTCTAACCCGTCACCTAGCAACCCAAGCTGAGTTCCGCCACGTTTGGTTTTACAGCTGTGTGCGCTGTACAATGGCTGCTGACATTGACAAGTGTTTAGTTTACTTACCATCCAGAAACCACTGGCTGCTTTCTGGCTGCTCGTGCACAATAATATTTTCAAATTTATTGATATTTATTGATACTCTTATTGAACATTGGAGAAAATGGAAAAAAAGAAAACAACAACAGAACAATCCTGACAGTATGGGCGTTTTTTTTTTTAATCAGTTTAAATTTATCAATATGATAAATGAAAATTATTGAAGTAATTTAAAACGATACTATAAATGCCTATCCCGAGTTGACTTAGTGTTCAGAAACTACTTGCTGCATCTTTGTAGGTTGTGCAGAAGGCTCTACTAATGCTTTCAAAAATGTACGGCTGTTTGTGGGTATGAATTTTGAGTTGGAGGGCGTGGCCAGCAGCAGTTTATGTGGATTTAAAGTGACAAAGGCCCTAAAACATCTCATTATGAAAGGCAGAACTGAGCAGACTAAAATCTCATTATCTAAGAATAATTTTGGTTAAAAAAATGTAATGAACTTGTTTTGTATAGACCATAGACCTATCCTAACCTGTTTAAGAAAGCATACTCTGAAACCTTTAATAACGAAACCCCATCACTCATCTTCTTGCCTCTTGTTTCTTTAGGAGCTGCAGAGTCTTGAGCAGTCAAATTCAGCTCTGCAGAAGGAAATTGCAAAGCTGAAGAAAGACCTCCGCCTCTATGAGACGGCGCTGGAACGCCACAAACCTCACTGCCGCCTAAAGGACGCCACTTCGTCCCTGGCAGATCTCAAAACCATCTCCACTCCTCTGCAGGACTCTTCCTCCTTAAACACCAGAGCGGGTTTAAAAGCCTTCAGTGACCCTGAAAAGACTCGCCTCCCGTCTTCATCTTCCTCTCCAGCAGCAGCATCAGCAGCCTCGTCGGCTAAACTCCCCGTCACATCGTCCTCATCGACTTCTCCCTATTGTGCCTCTTTCTCCACACATCCAGCTCCTCATTCTTTGTTTTGTGAACCGCTTCCCAGCTTCGTTCCCTCCACAGCAGCTCAGCTAGTGACCAACAACGCTAACACAACCGCCTCAGCATCTCAAAGCAGTTCCTTTACAGACGATTCATTTTCAAGAACCCTCAGTTCCTCCTTTGCAGCTGCATCTGCAGTGCATTTCTCCTCAGCTTTACCGAAGCAAAGTACTCCCAGGAATCTGCCTCAGTTTCCTCCCTGCAGGTTCGGTGGAAGCAGTGCTGCTACCTTAGTGACCTCTCCCCCTGCTGCTCCTCTAGCCTCCATCGACGGCTACGATCACCAGGTTTCTCCGGCTCCTGAGTCTCTGCTGTCCCTGCTCACCGTGCCCAGCCCTCTGAATCACTGTCAGACCAGCTTTAACGCACCAGCACCAGCCGCCTCTAAAGACATGTCTCTCTCTGAGCTGCTGGAGGTCAACGAGTGGATCCTGAGTGGCTTCGGCAACCAGTAGCATCACGGAATAGCTGCTTGTTTTTATTACAATGAGAGAAGTCCAACTGGCTGAAGAAAATAAGACACAACCAATGTCTCACACTGCAAAAACAAAAAGTCTCACCAAGTATTTTTGGTCCACTTTCTAGTGCAAACACCCTAGTTTACTTTAAATTAGACAAAACTAACCTACAAGTTACGATTCAGAAGAAATGGGAGCTTTTCACTTAAAGTTGTTTTGCATCAAGCCGTATTAGGTCTTTATAGCTTGGAGTCGTTATATAATCCCAACAATAAGATCATTTTCTAGTCATTTTTATATCAATAATAACAACCTTAAACTAAAAATAATTTTTATTTCAGCAGTATTATTTTCCACTTCAATATTCAGTTATAGTAATGTCAGAAAAAAAACAAAAAACATGTTTCTGCTCTACCATCACAAATATAAATAGGAATAAAGTTTGCAGAGGGAACGGGTCGCCCAGGCCCTCGTTTATGTAAGAACCACCACTGGACAGAGTAGAAAAAACTCTTTCCTGGTATGACTAATCCCATGAAAGATCAAGATACTTTAAATATTTCACACATTTTCCAAGAAATACGTCTGTATCTGTTGTCTGGTAATAAATGAGTAAAGCTGCAGCTCTCAGAGAATGAAACGACTTAAGAAAAGAAGGATGATGCATCTTTCAGCTCCTGTGTCAGGCCTTTGCCTGATTTTGTTCCTGTTCTGTTTTGAGCCCAATACTTCTTCATTTGTCCTCCGTTTGTGCGGCATGTAGTCCTTGGTCAGCGACCACAGAGGCCTGCAGAAAGCAAGAAAAACGACTCATCAGGATCCACTTAAGAGATTTCAAAACTTGTTGGAAGGAATACATAAATGCAGTATGTGTCTTTGAGAAAGTTTTACACATGATAAAATCAAATCAAAACAAAGAGTTTTATTTCTGTCTAGTTTGCCAAAATCTAAAAAGCAAAAACACAGCAAACCCCAGATTTGCTTTTTCAATCTCAGAGGTTCAGTTAATTTTCTCAGATAACACACTCTTGACTTCCAACAGTTGATTAATCTGTTGCTTATTCTGATGATTAATCAATTAATCAAATAAAAAAAAGTTGGCACATTCTGCAGATTTTTCATCAAAGTCTTTTTTATGCAACATTTGAAATACATTAAAGTATTAAAATTAACATTGTATTGCCTAAAGTGCAATAACACAGCATTCCTTTAGTGAACACTTGATTATTTGTAACAAATGATGCATCTGCAGCTAACAAACACTTGTAACATGTGAAAAGCTCAGCTGTTTCTGCTTGATTTAGCTTTTATAGAGTGCAGAGATGATGTATTGATTATTTGTTGGATGAACAGATTAATAATTGGACGGAAAAAGGTGCTTAATAGAAGAGTTTAAATTAGGTGAAGCTAAAACTATATTAATTGAGGAGTTCTGGGTAGAACGTATTTACAGACAGATTTTATCTTAAGTGCAAAATGTATGTATTTTTGTAAAGCTTTGGTTTAATCACTGAGTGTGTCGTTCTTTCATCAAATAGTCTCTTTTTTGAGTCTCTTTTCTTCAGTTAACGATTATTTCAGTAATCGATTAATCGTTTCAGGCCTAATATTTCTTAAACTGGATTTGAACTGATGACTCCTGAAATCTGCCGCTCACACCGGGACTCAAACTCTGCAACGTCAACTGAACTGAGTCACTCTGTTTCTAAGAACTGCAGATAAATCGCTCCTGGTCGTCAGCTGTTTCTTCATTTAGAAAGAAACGGTTGGTTCTGTAAACTTTTGAGTCCACGCCAGCACAGGCTGCACTTCCCTGCAGGTTCATGGAAATGTAATTTGTAGATATTTGGATCCCAAACTGAACCAGACAGCTGTGGCTGCATATTTTGTAAACTTATTTTTGTATGTAAAGACGCCGTGGGATTTGTCTTCCCTGTCTGCTGGTGCTTTTTTATTTCTACACTGCAAATCCAGTTCCTACAGTGTGTTTTTATTTGTGCTTTGGGACGAAGCAGTGCAATGTGAACTAATCTGGTTTCAGTCGTTTTGTCTGTGCTGCTGTGGGCTGAAGCAGGTACCAAATGTAAATGTGGTGGTGAAGAAACCTTCAGGCTGGTCTGACTCACGACTCGCTGCAGCAGAGCGTCGCGTTGAGCTGACATGCAACACCGAACACGCAGCGATCCCTCCAGGTCGTTTGTTTAGTTATGTTTCAGATCATAAAATACGTTTTGCATCAACATCTTTTTCCAAATTTTGCATAAATATGAGAGTAAATGCCAGTTGCCAGCGTACATAACCAATACTTATTATTTTTTGAATATTTAACTCTTTTAATGCCAGTTTTAGCCACAAAAAGTGGATTTTATCATCGTTTTTTTTCAGAGGAACGTCAGAAGTTTGGCTGCAAAAGTTTTATGTTTTAGAAAGATGTTGCTAGTAAAAGTAGAAAACAGAGTAAACTGCTCCATCTGTGGGCCAAGGACACAAAGTGTGACCTCTTAAATATAGTTATGGAAATATTACACTTCAATATTCATCAGTCAAATATCACATAATATTCTGATTTTTTTAACCTGTTCAACTATCTTTTTTTTTAAACACAAAGTTTTTTCTTTCCTCTTAAATATTCAAATTGGATTCTGAGAGGTTTGGTAGTTTCAGGTATATATATATTTTTTAAACTGTAAATAAATTGCTTAATCTGTATCCCTTGGACACAAAAATGCTCTGCTGCACACTGCAGTAGAAATAATTTATATTCCTATAACTTGTATTTTCCATTTTTTTTAAATTAATCTTAGCATCGGCTCCCTTCAAACATAGCAAAAATGAAAATGATTCTGATCTATTTTTACTTTGGAAACAAATGAAAAAGTCATCAGAAAATTGATTTTTCCATCCATTATTACACATAAAAACAAATTTACCTTGTGGAAAAAAATAAAACATGAAAATCTGAAGGGATTTCAACATGAGTGAATTAAAGAAGCAACAGATTGTTCAGTTTAGCTCAGAAAAGCTCATGGAGGAGAAACATCTCTAAAAACCCCCACATTTTTTATACATTTTATGCATCAACACAACCCAAGTTAAACAGGTTATGGTTTTAATGTTAGAAGATCTTCTGAGGATTAGAAAGGAAAACATTCATACTCTGAATAAAACATCCATGTTGGATGGATTACAGAATGTGAAGCTGCAGATGTTATTTTTTCTAATTATGCTCTTCTGATTTATATGTCACTAAATTTTATTGTCTTACAAACCAGAATTTTCCAAAAATGCTGAATGAGTTTAGTTTGGATGAAAGAGATTCATCCAAACTAGAGAGGTTTTTAGGGACCATTTAATTATTTAATTGTCTTGCTTTGGATAAAAATGCTGCATTAACTTCGTTTTTACTTAATTTCTACTTTTAATGTACTTTTTCTTACATCTAGGAAAAGGCCAGTGCTTTTATTTAAATAACGATTTAGATTTCTCTAATGATTCTGTCCCTTTAATTAAATATAAAATATAGTGTTTATGCATATATATATAAATAGAGAGAGGAAATATATGGATTTATATTAACAATTCAGTGTGTTTTTAAGAGTGTGTGTATTTATCAGATGTATTTATGCTGTGGTTGTGTATTTTTGTGTAAAACAATGCGAAATAAAAGCTTTTCTTTAATGCACACATCTTTTTCTCTCTGTTTAACTCCATGATAAAAACATTAAATTAAATCAAATTCATGCATGTTTTTCTCCTGAAGTGTGTTCTCTCTTAGTTTGATTTTAGGATTTTGTAGAATGAAAACGTGAAACTTTCTATTCATAAATATGTGCAAATCTGAACTGCAGATGACTCCATTTTACACCGAAAAATAACTTTAAAGCAAAATGGTGGAAATGTCCAAACATCTTCATTTAGTTAGTCAGAGAAGAGGCGTTTAAAACAGACAGATTGCAGAGCAAAGAAAAGGAAAAACAGGTCAAGAACCAGGAAGGATACCAGGAAGAAGGTTAATAAAAATGGATGCTTTGCTTTTCCTTACAAAGCAAAGTAAGGTACTAAATCTTTTTTTGAAATCAGTTAAAATATCACAAAAATATAACTTTAAAAAGAGCCCATCTTAGTCTAACAGTCAAAAGTATTGCAGATGCATTTTATTTAGAAAATATTAGATAAGCTGTATAAAAACAATCTGCAACTAAGCGAACTTTATGTGAATTTTGCACAGAAAAACCCACAAATACTTAATGCAAGCAGGAGGTTCTTACAATTTAGACAGATGGTCATATTGTTATGCCTAGTCCGTGTATTTTGCTGTAAATAAAACAGCTTGAGTAATATAAAAATCTATGTCAAAAAATGAAATGTTTATACAACTTTTTTATAATTCAGACGAAATAAATGATCAAGTTTTAACGACTCAACAATCAAATCTTTACTAATCAAACCAACACAGAGATTTGAACAAGAATGAAAACTTTACAGCTGAAAAAAATTATGATTTTTAACCCAGCCTTGGATTTTAAGAAAACTTTTTTCAAGAAAGATATTCAAAGTTGAAGTAACGTGACAGATTTTACAGTGTAAGCATTTCTTAAAACGCACTAAAAACTATTTTAATGGAGAAAAAGATGTTTCCTGGACTCCTTTAATCAGTTGCAGTGAAATTATATCAACATATTGGTGATTATTTCAGTGAAGAATATCAATAAAACTGAAACAACACAAATAAAACAACCGTAATAAATTTGGTCTGTGTTTGTTTTGGTGTTTATCTTGCGCCATCATCAGGACAAAAATAAAATAAAAAAAACTATGTTGAATCAGTTTGAATATTTCTCCTTTTGCGCTGCAGCTAATGATCTGAAGTTAGTTTTCTTTTAGAGAGGGAATAAAACGTTAGGACCTGATCGGAGGAAGATGGGGGGACTGTGGGTACCTGGGCGGTGGATGGTCTGATTGGGAGGAACAATAGGAGGAAGCTTGATGCTCAACTTACAACCATTCCAGGAGGAGGAGGAGGAAAAGGAGGAGGAGAAGCCGGGTATGGAGGGAGGAAGAGGAAGAGGAGGGGAAGGGAGTCAGACAGACACACCGATGGACGTCAAAGCGCTGCTGGAGGTCAGAAGGAGATATTCTACAACCAAATCGCACGAATGTTGCAGATTTTCTGCAGAAAATATTACAGAAAGGCGCAAAAATGATCCGAATGAAATAAATAAATCCTCCTAAAGCCACATTCCTAAAATAAATAAGCCATATAAATAAATAAATCAATGCCGTAGCGTCATCTGCAGTGAGGAGCCTTTCTCTCTCGTCTTGCGCCACCTTTCAGTAGTCAAGGCGGTCAGAGTGGAGCTTGGGCGCATCCGGTTGGTGCTGTCAAAATAAAAGCTTGCGCAGTTAAACCAGTCAGTAAAAAAAGTTTCACATCTGTAAGTCAGTTTTCTAAACACAATATCTGTCTGTCTATAAAATTAAAGAAAATGTGATTTCATATCAGTTAAAAGCAAAATCCATCCAGACCTGCTGAACAACATCGGAGGGTTGATGAAGTGAAATGTTTTGTGATTTTAAACTGAGTCTGCTTCTCAATCCTCTGAAGACTTGTTATCCTAGTTGCTTGTGCGCCTGTACCAACTACACTTCTTCCTTCCACTCAACTTTACACTTTAAACCTGAACATATCACTCTGTGAATACACTGAAAAAGAGAATGGAGCCCCAACTTTGGAAAATTTTTTTGTTAATTTGCTATTTGTGATCAAATTAAGTCTGTCGAACTTATTTTATTCACGTTTAACATGACAACTTCATATATTTTAAACTTAATTTAAAATATATGAGCTATTTTTTTTTTAAGTTGAATCATTTATTTTTTTTTTCAGTTGCTTGTCCTGTGGAAGATTTCAGTGACCGTCTGCTGCCCAGTCGGGTTTATAATGATGGTTTAGTTTACCTCGCCCCAGAATATTGGTTTTCTAATTCCTCGTCAGGAAGTTAACAGAAATAAATCAGTGTGTGGACTGCATTAATTTCAAAAAGGTATATATCTTAGGATAAATATATAGAATTATGACAATACTGAGAAAAACAAATTCTGAGAGTAAAGTAATATGATAATTAAGTCGAAATAATATGACAAAAAAATTATGGCCAGACTAAAAAACATTATTTTTTAATTACAAGAATACAGTCATAGTATTACGTGAATGAAGCTGAAATTAAACGATGGAGTATTAGGGCCATAATGAGATTTTTTTTTAAATTTAATGAGAATAAAGTCACAATAAAATTACCAGGATAGAGTGGTAATTTTATGACTTTATTTTTGTGACATTAAAACTTTATTATCACAATGAGTGTCTAATACTCCGCTGTAATAAAGTGAGTTTCGTTAATTATAAATAAAAGTGGGACAAATGTTGGTCAATTGGCTGTGATTTAATTTGAAAAGGCAGACTGGATCATTTCCGGTCGTCTCGTTCGCTTTGACGCAAATCTGGCGCTGTAATAACCGGATAACGGGAACCGAGAAGGAGGACGGCAGCAAAACGGATCAGTCGGTCAGTCGGTGTGTGTTTCTCCCGTTGTGTAACGCAGGCCCTGAGTTTCTCCTCTAGGCGGAGCGGCTCCTTCTCTCCTCTTTGTCTGCTTTCTGCTCCTCGGAGGTGGGACCTGACCGGAGCGCGGCTCGGCGGCGGAGGACCTGCACATGTCGGCTCCGTTTGTTTCTCCGCCCTGATATCGGCTGGAGGACGGCAGCGGGAGGAGGAGCAGGTGGAGAACAATCACCGAACCGCAGGGAGTCAAATAGAAATATATAAATGTGTTAATGAGAGGAGCGTCTGAGACAATCAGGAGAGGATGCGATAAAAACAAGAGAGAAGGACACCAGTGATGCGGCAGCCGAGGTGGGCCCAGATTGATGATTTTATGATATCATCATCCACCGCCAGGACCGGATCCGATTAATAAGGAGGATAAACCACAAACTGATCGGGAATCTGTGTTTCCCCCCGCACTCCCCTCTGGGATAAGCAGGAGGCGCTCTGCGGGTTTTCTTCATCAGCCTGTTATTATCCTGAATGAACATCCACGTTTAGGCCGATGACCGAGTCTGGAGCCTGTGTGACGCCAGTACAGCAGCAGAGGTGTGTGTCTGAGCATCACTGGGAAGGAGCCGCCAGCCCATTTCCATCTGTGCGTAAAACAAACCAGGAGATTCAGGCGATGCGGCCATCAGTCCGGCTCTCATAGAGGCGCAAATCAGGACTGGACCTCCAGAGATATTCCTCCCCCCTCCTGCGCATTTCCATCCTAATCAACTGATTATCCATCTGTGATTCACAAAGCCACCCACTCCATCCATCCATCCACCCATCCATCCTCCGTTACGCGCTCCACATCTGCAGCCGTCATGGAGACCACCAAGCTGCCGCCGTCCAGCCCCTCCTCGCCGAGCACCAGCTTCTCGGTGCCGTCCGCGGAGAAGGTGGACGGCTTTCCGCGCAGGTCGATGCGCAGAGCGCGGCAGAGGAGGTCCCACAGCTCGTCCCAGTTCCGCTACCAGAGCTCCCAGGTGGAGCTCACCCCGCTGCCCCTGCTCAAAGGTGAGAGACAAAAGACGCACACACAATTTCTACAAAGACTGTCAACTCACCTCCGACACAGATGAAACCCTCCCACTCTATTATAGTCTCTATTTTCAACCCGTCATTTTTACTTGAAGCTTAAGCTAACCTGAATGTGTACCAGCCTACTCTGGCAGATTGACAAAACCACTTTGAAGAGATTTTTCATCACTTTATTCTCTCTTCCCTTTTTCCCATCTTTAGCTTTCTGTCATCAGATAAAACAATTCAAATGAAAATATAAAAAGCGCCCACTAGCTTTGTTCTCTATTAGGAATCTTATTTCCGCCATATTCTGGCGCCCCCTCCAGCGCAGCGCCCCTATGCCTCACATATAGAGCCACTTTTGCCACTGAACAGGCATCCACATCTTTTTTCTTTCTTTTTCTCTTCAAAAGGTGAAGCTGACGTGTTCTGTAAACCCGTTACTCTCAGAGTGATATATTTAAAGTGTTTATTTCTTCTTAATTTTGATAATTAACACTTAAAGCTAATGAAAACCCAAATTTAAGTGATCATAAATTAATTTTTAATGCAAAAATGCCAGCCTTCTGAACTACTTTTGTTTGTAATTGATTATTCTGACAATGAATACATTAATCGGAAAGAAATGGCAGATTCTGCAGGCGTATTAGAAATATATTGAAATATGGACATAAACAAACAATTAAATTCCTTTTTTAAGTAAGAAAATATTTTTTTGCCTAAAACACAACAACATAGAATTAATTTAGCCAACACTTGATCATTTGTAGCAAAGGATGCATCTACAACTTCAAAAAAACATCAAAGCTCAGCCCTCTTAGCATCAGTACAAAGCACGACTAATCTATTGATTATTTTATTATTTCACCAGTCATTAACTGGATAGTAAAAGCTGCTTACCATCCAGCTTTCTTCTGGTAAATTGTGTCTTTATTTCGCTAAAGTTGTCGCAGGCTGGCGCTAATACCCCGTCGTACAACTCAAAGAGGGAAAGACTGAGATAAAAGCTCATTCTTTGGAAATGTTTTCTGTCATTTGTAATTTCCTTTTTAGAAAAGAAAGTGGGAATCAATTAAAATCGCATCCGGTTTGAAAAAACACATGTCATATCGCCCAGCCCTAAGTAAAGATAACATTTAGATACAAAGACAAAAACAAGTCCAGCTTAGTTTAGGCAAACTGGACAGACCATAAACTGATGTTGAATCTCTGGAATCGTCTGGACTGAAGCCGTGAAGCTTTCCCCTCTTAGCCTTCACTGAATCACAGCATCAGTTCGTCTCCCTGACTGATTGATTTGGGAAACGGGCGCAGCAGCCCCTCCATCACAGGAACATTTTCTCCTTTTTCAGCTGCGGACTGGACTCACTTCCTGACTGCCATGAAATACATAACCATGAGTAACCTTTGTGCCAAACTGGATGGGGATCTGGAGATGCAGATCTGTTGTTGCCATAGTTCTGGTCCCTCGGCTCCTGAAAACACACAGAGGAAACTTTTAATCTACCTGAAGGCTGCAGAGCAGGTGGAATCAACAACATGTTGCATTTAAGTCGCAGCGTATGATCTCTGTGGGAATCGGCCTGCGGTTTGATGCACGTTTGTTTTCTGTGGCAGAATTTGTGTTTTTGCAGTGAGATGCATGTCAATACTTTTGGCTCTTTTCTTTTCGGTGTCTGAGTCAATAACTAGGATTGTCATGATAGCAAATTTTGATGGACGATAAATTGTCCCAGAAGTTATTGCGATAAACGACAACGTTGTTGTTTTGAGGCCATTTTCAAGAAATGTAATGACAATGGCAAAAATGAACAAACTTTAATTTTGTAAAGAACATGTAGCACTTGAACTGGAAGATATTTTCAATATTCAGCATAAAACGTAACAACAACAAAAATTAAAAAGTAAAAGGGAAACAGAAACTAAAATAAAATGGATCATGAAGTTTTCCTTCTCAAAGACCAATAAACTTTAATTTTGTAAAGAGCATTTAGCACTGGAGCACTTACAAGAAAAATAAACAATAAATAAATAAAATGCTAAAATAAATCCTCCCACCCAAAACATGAACAAACAACCAAAAACAATAAACAGAGATATAAACCACACAAAACTGAAACATAAATGAATTGGCAGAAAAACTTCCCTTTAAAAATGATTAATAATCAGAATTATGGAGCTCACTTTAGCTTATAATGTGATTAACTGATTTATTTGATTTATTATTGATCGATTTATTGACAATCAATAAATCTGATGAGGTAGAAAATAAACATTGAAAACCTCAAGTACCGTTAAATCAAAACTAGATGTAAACAACCAGCAATGTTAATCTAAACAGACATCTATAAATAATCTGCAAAATTTGGAAATTCATTTCAAATGATTTAAAAAATTCACCTTAAATAATTTACAATTTTAAATAATTGACACAATTAATTTTAAATAATTTACTATCCGTTACAAATGGCATTAGCTGACCGATGAGCTCCGTCCTTATTCCTGCTCCGCCCCTCTTGTGTCTCGTGTGTTTTTGCAACATGGCCGACTGTGTTTTTATTTTGCTCTGACCCCGCTTTATAAACCCATTCTCCCTCTGTGCAGTCGGCGATCTCCTCCCATTAACTCTGAACTGAGGGAAATCGTTTCTGCTTTCAGAGAAGCTCTGAGATCCCTCTGTCTGTCCTCTCTTATGTATTTTTACACTTCATTTCCCCCAGCTTTAACGTCCTTCCAGGGCGGGGTAAAGTGGTTTGGTTTTTATTGCACCTTTTAGTTCAGCTCTGACTTTGCATACATACATGATGCTGCAGCAGGCAGGCGTCCCGGCTGTTGCATGGCTGCTGCAGCAGCCTGGTGCAGGAGGAGCGTCTGCTGTGGGGAAGTCTCTCCCGTTGTCGATATGTGGGCCAAATGTGAACACACTCTGCCTTCATGCACATCATGTTCCTTCTGCTGAGCTTCTTGCTAACAGAAACAGAGTCAGATGTACAGCAGGATAACTAGATACTGTCTAATCTTTTCTATTAACTAATGAACACAAGAGAAACATTCATGTCTTATTCATTCTGCCTAATTTAAACAAACTATTCTCTTTTGGGGTTGAATGATAATTTTAACATACTGAGTAGGATGCACCCATCTGCTTTTTTTACTTCCGATACCGATATCGGATGTTTAATATTGGCCGATACCAATCCGATACAGAACTGAATTGACTTAAAAGGTTTCCTTTTTTAAGTACAGACACAAATGTACTGAATTACACATTTATTTAATAACTCTGCAAACTTTAAAACACCAACAGCTTCTCAAGCTTGTGAAGTTAATTTGTTCAGTCAGCGCAATTAGAAGTACAGCAGCCGATATAAAGCAAATAATAAACTAAAGCTGACAAAAACATGTAAAAACAAACTGCAACAGAAATGGTTCAGAAAATGTAAAATAAATAATAAAGTGTGACGTTGATCAGAGCACAAAGCATAGAATTACAGAGAACAGATCTGCCTGTATGGATCAGGCACATTGTCACAAATCGATCTAGATTGCTAAACACCTTACAGGTGAAAGTATTACAGTTGGTTGTTTATTGGGTGTTTTTCTCCTTTTTCTTCTTCCTTGTTGTAATTGTGATTTTTTTTTTACATATAATGTGAAAACTATATTTAACACTAACATCGGGACCAATAAAGATATTAATATCGAATTGATGCATCTCTAATTTGAAACTGTAGAGGATATTTTCTAATCTACACATAATCAAACTAGAAATACATTACATACATAAATATACAACGTCATTGATGCTTTGGTGAAATGCTGAAGAGCAACTTGTAGAGAAAAGCACCAATTTTACGCCATCAGTAAGTTTATAAAGACACAACCTGTGATTGGTGATGCCAAGCCAATCACAGGTTTTATGCCAATTTTATTGGCATAAAATTGTGATTTTGTGTGATCATGTGTAAGTCGCGCCTGTGATAGGAGTGCTGATGCGGTCGGGGTTTGGATAATAGACAGATAATGTGATCTTACAGAGAGACGGTATCTCTGAGTCTCCAGTAAACACAGATCGGACCTGGGAGCCGCAGGGATGATCGAAGCAGCCAGCTGATCAATAGGTGAAGGCTGAGGGTAACCAGGTCCAATAAGTCGTTTTACAGAGGATTCATGTACGGCCTCTGGGTTACAGCAGCGTCTCTACGTGTGTTTACAGTGCAGAGGATACAAAGAGCGACGACACATCGCTCAGGTCCAAACGGGGCAGAATGAAGCTAAAGAGCAGAGAAAAAGGTTTGACTGGAAAATTACATGTTTTATTCCCACTGGGAGCAAAAGAACTATGGGACTGTCTACAATGAATGAATGAATGAATGAATCAATCAATTAATCAATTAACCAACTAACCAACCAACCAACCAATCAATCAACCAACCAATCAACCAATTGCTTCATCCATCCATCTGTTTGTCCAACTATCTTTCCATCCATCCATCCATCCATCCATCCATCCATCCATCCATCCATCCATCCATCCATCCATCCATCCATCCATCCATCCATCCATCGGTTCATCCGTCCGTCCGTCCTTCGGCTCATCCATCCATCCATCCATCCATCCATCCATCCATCCATTGGTTCATCCGTCGATCTGTCAGTCTGTCCATCCATCCATCCATCCATCCATCCATCCATCCATCCATCCATCCATCCATCCATCCATCCATCCATCCATCGGTTCATCCGTCGATCTGTCTGTCCGTCCGTCCATCCATCCATCCATCCATCCATCCATCCATCCATCCATCCATCCATCCATCCATCCATCCATTGAACAGAAATAGGAATCTGGGACTTTTGACTCTGTAAAATTTTTCGTTTTGTAAATTGTTTGTTGAAACACAGAACTGATTGTGAATCTTTCCGTCTGTTTCTATCACTAAACACTGATGGAGTAAAAAAGACAATTTTCTTACGATTTATCCCCAGAACGAAGCCTCGATGTTGTTTTAAGCTTCAAATTATCCAGTGAATCAAAGCTAAAATTGAGCTCTACTTGATTCCCCACAGAAACTCTCGCTTCATGTTTTTCAGAAATGTCACTTTTTCGATTCTAATTATGCTCAGGAAATGGATCTTTAAAACAAGTAGAGCAGAACCTCAAATGGGATGAGTATCGAAGTCATATTAGAGATGCAGAACTCAGAGAACAAGATGAGTATTTTAAAAAAGTCAACCTTCACACATTTACCGAGCCTAAACATAGAGGTGAAACTGGCTTCCTGACTTTACAGGCTAATCATGTTGTCAAGTCATCAGAAAGAGGCTGAGAGCTCAGAGAAAATGTAAAGGAAAGGATTCTTCTGTTTTAGCGCCATCATGCACAGAGTAAAGTGAAACAAAATGCTGACTCAATCAGATAAACAAACTGAGAAGTGGAGTCCATTAAAGTAAAGGCGATCTGGGCTGAAGGGTTCTGAAAAGTATCTAAACTAATCTGACACAGATCCAAACCTGGAATTTCAGGGATTCCGTAAAAACCTGTCAGCGTTTAGAACAATCTAATTTCTGTGACGGTTCTCCGCTCCTTGACCTTCAGTTGCGATGTGCCCCCCTGGGGTCATGACTCCCATTTGGCTCCCTGGTCTTGGGTTTTGGGCCATTTCTGTCGGGACAAACTAGAGTTAAGGTCACATTGTATCCATTATGCATTCAGGAGGCCAGCAGAGGCCAGCTGACAAACTCCTGAGACAGACGGTACAAATGTGGACCCAGAAGGACTTCAGGAGATTTCTGATTGGTCGTCCTAAATACGACCAATCAGAGAAAGAAAGAACAAGACCATCAATGCAGACATCAGGAAAAAAACTTGGTCTTGGTTTGGGTGAAGTGAACTGCGGTTCAGTTTGAAGGCAGATGTGAATATAAGCGGACCGGAGACCGCTCCAAAAGCAGGAAGCAGACTACAGCGCAGGGGATTCTGGGTAAATACAACCTTAACAAACACACTCGTATAGGACCAGCAGGAGAAATGACTTCTGGTCTTTTACCAAAGAGAAATCCTACAACTGAAAAAAATATTAACTTATTGCCAACAAACAGCTGAGTGTCTTAAGGTCTTAGTCTGGTTTTGTACTCAGATGAAGTATAAAAAAAGAGTAAAAAGTGAATTTTGCATAACAGGTTCCTTTTAAATACCTCATCACAGCGTTATATTAATCCTCAGTGAAGGTGGAAATGCTGCAGGCAGATGATTAGTTTGGAGGTTGGGACCTTTTTGGGTTTCATCATGTATTACTATTGTAATTATATCTGGAGCTGCCCGAGGTTTGAAAACTGACAGAATGTTGCAGTAATAACATTTATTAAAAGCCTCACTGGGTGTTTGCTTTGTGTGCTTCTTACGAAAACATAACAGTGGGGACACTTTTTGGTCTGTGTTGGGATCTGAGAGAGAATCGTTCTGCCGCTAGCA